AATCCACTCTGCTGTTGTTTCCAGCGACATGGAAACTTCTCTGTGATCTGATGCCTGCCTGCCTACCTGGCTTTCAAGCTGTTCTTCAGACTTCCTGAATGGCAAGACCATGCCTCTGTGAACTGCCCACTATAGTCTGTGATGAGTGCCAACTTGGCAAGGCAGAGTATCCCTTTTCTGCAAAGCACAGGGGTGGAGTGAAACACCATGGGCAAAAACCCATCCCATGGCAGCCATCGGAATCCATATTTTGGAACAAAAAACTTCTGTTTTTTGGCATACATATAATTTTACTACTTACAAAAGATAATATAGATGTTTTGTGTGTATGTCTGTATGAACACCAGAAGAGGGAACTGAATCTCATACGGTTATAGACAGTTGCGAGCTGCCATGTGGGTGCTGGGAATTGAACTCTGGATCTCTGGAAGAGCAACCAGTGCTCTTAACCATTGAGCCGTCCCTCCAGCACCATCATTTCATTACTTATTAAAGAAGAAAAAGTTGTATAATTTTGTCATTTTAATATAAAGATTAAACTTTGGCTAAATATTTGTTACCAGAGATACAATACAATATCTTCATTCTTTTTTTAAAGTGCATTGGTGTTTTGCCATGGGTGTCAGGTCCCCTAGAACTGGAATTACAGACAGTTGTGAGTTGCCATGTGGGTGCTGGGAATTGAACCTGGGTCCTCTGGAAGAGCACTCAGTGCTCTAAACCACAGAGCCATCTCTCCAGCCATGGACATCTTCTTTCTTTAAATGTAAATCCTTTTCCTCTCCCATTCCCTGCTGCCTCCATCCTTCCCCAGGTGTCCCCCCTTCTGCTTTCACAGTACATGTGTCTGTTTGCTCACCCCCCATATCTTTGAAAACTACTATTAAAGTTACCAAACACTCTAAGATTTAAAAAAGAGAGAGACAAGTTCATAGATTCTATTGCTCAAAATCACATGAACCAAGAGACTGAGGCACACTGACGGGACATGGCAAGCTTTTAACAGAAATTTACAATGAAGTGAGTTTCCTTTTCAGACTTACTTATCTTAGAGCCAGACTTCCTTGGTTTCATTTCCCAATCTGTGGTGTGTCAGCTGTGTGTTTTTCTGTAGGTTCCTTACCTCTCTGTGCTCAGTGCTTTCATGTGTTCATAGGAACTAATACCGATACCTATTTCAAAGGAGCCCTGGGAGAATTAAACAGGTTAGTACTTGGGCTAGTACCAGCTCATGGTGAGTGCTGTGTTAAGTGCTAACCACAATTACTGTCATTTATATGTCTTTTTTTGTAAATCCCCAGGTTTCAATTAAAAGTAATTTTAAATTGAAACACAGACTTTATATGTTTACAGGCACCATGTAATATTTTAATATGTATAATTGTATGATGTCCAAATCAGGGTCTGCATATCCATTAGGTAATTCTTGGGGGTGAAAACATTCCCGGTCTTTCTTCTTGCTCTGTTGAAATATACAGTAACATTGTCTTTACCTGCCCTACTGTGAAACAGAACATAATAAATACATCTCACTTATAAGAGCACACTTTCCCCTGAATAACCAACACCCACTCTCCGGTTAGCTAATCACCCTTCAGTTCTCAGCTCCATTTAGAGAAATTTCAAAATGATTGAATGGATGGAACTACCAAATACTAGACACGTTAAATACAAATGTTAGTACTTCCGGGTTATGGAATACTACTTATTCATCAATACTGTATTTCAGTACTGAGTCTTTAATAACTCTGGTGAATATTAACTAGCAATGTGAAGACATGCCTATGTGTGTGTGAGAGAGAGTATTAAGTACTAGCAGCCAGGTACATAGTGATAGAGAATTTTAAGTCTTAAGTCTTAAATCTTAAAAATTTGAAGATTCATGTGTTCCTATAATTTCTGAAATTTTTTTTACAGCAACCACACATACTTTGGGTAAAAAAAAAAGACAACATAACAATTTTCTTTTAAAAATTCACACTTCGCATTTTATCTTTTATTTCTTCTTTGACAATTTGACACATGTATACATGGATCCTATCTGCCCCTAATCCCCCCTGCCCCTATAATGATCCCTCAATATACCCCCTCCCCAACCCTGTCATATCTCTCTCCTCTCTTCCCCCACCTCCTTTCCCTCTCTCTGATAACCCACTAAGTCTATTAGTGTGTCCACCTGCTGACATTTTGACTGCTTTGTTGACTTGACCTTAACCAGATCTTGTGGAGGTAGGCATAATTGCAGAAATCTCATGAGTACAACAGCCAAGACAGTATTCCACCGCTCACCCCCCCCCCCCCCCCCCACACACCCCCCCCCCCCCCCCCCCCCCGCCACATGCATACTGGCTCTTATTCTCTTGCTGTCCCTCTTCTGAGGCCTCACATTTTTGGAAGTCTCTCTCAATACTTCGCAGCCACCATTTAAAAGAGGAACCTCCAACACTGACAACAGTGCCTGTCACATAGTAGGTGCTCAGTAAAGCTTTACAGGGCCTCCAACCACTGACACAGTGCCTGTCACATAGTAGGTGCTCAGTAAAGCTTTATCGGATTGTTGTCTTGTCTGGGGTAAATGGGAAGAGGGCAGAAGCACACGTCCAAGCATCAAAGGGAGAGGCTTCCTAAGAAATGCTCCAAGTTTCCTGAATCCACCAAATACTGGTGAGATTGGCTGCTTCTCTCAGGAATTTAACACCCTCTGAAGTCACTGCTCTCTACCCCAGACAGCCAAGGAGCAGGCTGTGGCTGGTGACTAAGGCCTGGTGACCAGGGTCTGGGAGTCACTGATGAGCTGCTTCAACTGATGCCTTCTGCTACAGATGCCATTCCGGACCTGCACTCTGCATAACCATCTCCTTGTCTCTTCCATCCACAATTCAATGTCCGCTCCTGTTTCCCCAAAGTAACTTAGATACCACACTGGTAATATCATTTCTTGGTTTATTATTGTCCTTGCAAAATGGCATTGTATCCCAGCTCACCTTGGGTCTCTCGTCTCAGCATTTGTCCCCTTAGTTCCAAGCGTGCTCCCCCTCTTGGCCG